AACACATTTGTGGAGTCGTTTAAATATGTTGGGTTTTAAATATATTGGATTTTAAACTGTCATACAATTTTTTTAATTGATAGTCTGTAATTGGAACCATAACTCTTATTTATTCATATTGTATTAATATGTAAAGACCAAATGTAACTTATATCATYGTTAAATCGTATATTATAAAACCAGTGGAACTTCAAAATCGTTAAAATTCATGGTTCCCGCCGCATTGCGTGGGTACACAACTAGTATTATTTATATATAATTTAATTAATGTTATATTACATATTATTAAATACTTTTTGCTTTTATACTTATGAACTCATCCTCTCCACCCGACTTGCGACTTCCAATCTCTCGAAACGTTGTAATCAGGTTTAAAAAACATCGGATGATTTTGCGGACTTTTAGTCTACTTTTGGGGGATAAACTCCATGGACCGGTGATATAATATGTCAATATGATATTTGATTTAATTTAATTTTGTAAATTAAAATTAATAAAAAAAGGTAAAAATACATAAATACCCTCCTCTCTAATGGATTTTTTAATAGAGTTAGTCAATAAGAACCATTTTTAGAGCAAACTGCAAACAACAAAAACGATTTCTAGACTTGTCAAAGTTCAGGTTTCATTTTCAAAACCTCATAGACCAAAATTAAAGTTTACTCTTAAAATTATATTATAAGGGTATTCGTGCAATGCAACGAATATTTATCTTGATTTTAATGTTTCGTTTTATATTTTGGTTCTATTGATGTTATAAAGCGATTTTATGTGGTTTTGAGAAAACGAAAATGTTTTTATTTTTGAATAAAATATAAATTTAAAGATATCATAAAATTTTGAAAAAAAAAAATAATCGATGTTAATATCAAATCAACTATTTAAAAGTTCTCATTTTTTATGTAATTTCTTTAATTTATTTTTTTATTATAATTTAATTTAAGTTTAATAATGAAATAGATTTTTTTTGGTTTAATAATATGACATTTTATAAAGATAATAATTAATTATTTTGTTGGAACCCAATGATTATCCTAATTATATTTTAGATTTTTTATATTTAAAATGAGATGTTTATCTTGTATTTGATTATGTTTATTTGTAGTTAGTTACACGAATTAATATATGGAGTTTTAATAAGTTGTACTTACGCACAATATACTTACAATCTTGAGTTTTAAGTAATATGCATTAATAAACAGTAATTTACGCATAAAAATAGTTTTTAAGAGTTTTTGTCAAATGTTATAATATAATATAGATAAATAATAAAATAAAGTATTTAAAACCTTTTAAAAAAAAGTTGGTGTTTACAAAGTCTGTTTTTGTCCATTTCAGTAATGAATGATAAACACATAATATTTCTAATTTAAAGCTAATAATGCCACACAAAAAAAAAACGTTAACATCTGTCACATGCCATTTTGTCAAGTGCAGTTATGTCAATTTGCCCCACGTTACAAATACGTTTCTCCAAAGATCTTAGTCTTTATTTTCTTTATTTTTGTTTTATACATGTATTTAAAATCGTAACCATAAAATAAATTTACAAAAAAATTGGTATGAAAATGACGTTTTTATTATTTACTAATATTAGAATGGTACTCGCACAATGCAGCGAGATATAATATGGTTTATGTATTTTAATTTTTCATTTTATTTTTTTTTGTCTCTGTTGATATAATACGGTTTATGTGGTTTCGAGAAAGATAATGTTTTTACTTTTTAATAAAAATAAATTTGAGCATATCATAAAATTTTGAAAAAATATATCAATATTAATATCAAATTATCTATACTATATTATAAAGCGTTTGACAAAAACTCCTAAAAACCATTTTTTATGCATGAAATACTGTTTATTGATTTATATTATTTAAAATTCAAGATTACAAGTAGTTTTGCGTAAGTACAATTTATTAAAGCTTTATTTTTAAATTCGTGTAACTAACTGCAGATAAACATAATCAAATACAGAATACATCCATTTTAAATATAAGATATCTAAAATATAATTAAGATAACATTGAGTTCTAACAGAATGTTTAATTGTTATATTTATAAAAAATATATTATTAAACCAAAAATAAATTACTTTTTTATTACATCTAAAATAAATTATAATAAAAAATTGAATTAAAGAAGTTACACCAAAAAAACAAGAACTATTAAATAGTTAACTTGTTACTAATATCGGTTTATTTTTTTCAAAATTTTATGTTATTTTCAAATTTATATTTCATTCAAAAATAAAAACATTATCGTTTTCTCAAAACCACATAAAATCATATTATATCGATAGAGACAAATAATTAAAACTAAATACTAAAATGAAGATTTATCTCGCTGCATTGCACGAGTACCCTTCTAGTATCAAATTAACGAGTTAATAGTTTTTTTTTTTACAATTTCTTTAATTCAATTTAGGTATAATAGTAAAATAATTTATTTTTGGTTTAACAATATAATTTTTATAAAGATAATATTATGTTAGAACTTAATGATTATCCTAATTATATTTTAGATTTTTTATATTTAAAATGAGATGTTTATTTTGTATTTATTATGTTTATCTGCAGTTAGTTATACGAATTCAAAAATGGAGCTTTAATAGGTTGTACTTACGCACAATTTACTTGTAATTTAAATTTTAAGTAATACGCACACAGTACTTCATGCATAAAGAATGATTTTTAAAAGTTTTTGTCAAATGTTTTATAATATAGTATAGATGTCTAGCATCCGAACTCATGAATACTTAATTATAATATTTTTAACCCTTTAATAATATGAACGAATAAATAATGTGAAAAAAGACTTTAAAATCGAGTTTTATCCACCGACCATTATTATTAAGAAAAACAAACACGTCATCTAAATAAATATTCAATGATGCATTCCGTAACGTATTTTGTTTCTAATTTCACAGTATTTTTTTAAAACATACAACAGTTTTTAATTTGGTTCTCTAAAAAATAGCAATTAATTTTTTTTGAAAAAAGATTAATTCAAGATATATGTCAGATTGTTTGTACATTTTCTTTATCCTATTATAAATAGTTTTAATTATTTAATTATTCTATT